AGGGGACAGTGATCACCCAGAACACCCGCCGAGGGAATGGCTCATTCTTGTGTCTCCTACAGCATCTCCATTACTTCAGCAAGTATGTTCTCAGTGTCTATCATGTCCCAGCGCTAAGATAAACACCAAATGCTTCTTGAAAGAATGTGTGGACATAGCACATCCTCAAACACATCCCGAGCATGTTTTAGATTTGGAGCTGAGTGCAGTTTGGGTGGCTTGGCAGGGTAGAAGCAGTGGGGTTCCAGATTTGGAAGAAGCCAGAAGCTCTCTTTGGGCCACTACGGAAGCCTCCCAACCGGTTCCTTGGAAACCATTTGTTTGAGTCGTTTTCCTAAATGATTACAAGAGCTTGTGACAAATTGCTTCTAGGGAAGAAAACAGGAACATCGGGGTACAGAGGTGAGAAGTTTTTCAAGTCCCCTTGTGTAGTGTTCATAGTAAAAAAAAATTAACCATGTGCCTGTATCCACTATTCAAAAGAAAAACAAAATCTCCTCCTCAAAAATTTTTCTATGGTTTTTCTACTGCCTGTAGGAGAAACAAAATCCTTAACTTACTCTATAATGCTCTGCATGGTATGGCCATGCCCACCTCTCCAGCCTGATCTCTTATTCTCTCTTCCTTTGGCTCTCTCCAATGCAGCTACACTGGCCTGATGATTCAGCTGTTCTACATTCTTCTGGGCCTCAGGGCCTTCACACAAGCTTTTCTTTCTGCCTCACTCATTCTTACTCCCCACCTCGCCCTTCCCATTCTTTGCCAGTAAATTTCAGTTCTCAGCTTTAAACTGCTTTTTCGGAGAAGACTTCTTGACTGCATCCCCAATGCCCACCAGACTTGGTCAGTCCCCACACCGGGCACTCCAGCAGCAAAAAATTATGAAAATCACGATGAAGTGTAATTGGTTGATCAATTTGCCCCGCTACGTCGTTATACCCAGGACAGGGTCCTTTGGAGCTCAGCCCAGCGTGTGGCACACAGTGGGTGATCAATGACTATTAGCCGGGGGAAACTATGTACTTTTCTGGACCCTTCTCCATCTAAAGCAGCTGCGCTCAGGGCAGATGCGGGGGCAAGGAAGCCAGATGAGGAAGGAGCGGGAGCTGAGGCGCCCTTCTAGGCTTTCTCATTTAGAGGCCAGTAGGGGGTGACACTGCCGCTGTCCCTCGGTCCAGAGGGCGTGGCGGGAGAGATGGGCTGGGGTCGCACCACCCGCTGGCGTGAACGTGGTGCTCACGGCGCCAGAAGGTTCGGAGACACGGCGTGATGGATCTGGCCTCCTCTCGAAGGCTGCTGAGGCCAGACGACGGATTTGCCAGGTTTGAGTGCAAAAACGGCCTCCTCCGCAAGAGAGGAAGCCTGGATCACCGACTGCGAACAAAAGATGCAAGGGAGAAAAGCCACAACCTGCCGGGTCGCCAACGCCTGCGTCTTCCGGGCGTCAGCAGCCTGGGTACAAGCCCTCAGAACAGCCCCAGCCGACGAGAAAGCGCGTCTCCCCCGCGCCTGCGCACTCGGGGCCCCGCGCCCCGCTCACCCAGACCCCGCCCCTGGGAGGGCCCTCGCGCCCGCCCCGCCCCCCGCCTCTGCGTGCGCACCGCCTGGAGCCCGCCTCCGTGAAAGACTGCCGGGCGCATGCGGCCGGGCTGGTTCACTGGCTGCCCGGGGCTCAGCGCGCGCGTCGCACACCTAGATCCTTAGCCGACGGCAGGCCTGGAAGCCGGCTTCAGGTAGGCTGACTCCAGGGATCCTGGGGGAACTGTTCTGCCGTGCAGGAATCGGCGGCGCCAGCTGAACCCGGCGCGGGACAGCCACACCGCCGGCTGATAGACACTGCTCCCACCAATCAAGGGTGAGGTGGCTCGCCGGCCTGACCAATGGGCTGCGTGCCTAACGGGAGTGGGGCGGGCGGGCGGCCAGGCCGGCTAGGAGCCGGCTCCCGCGCGCGGGGCCGCGTGGCCGGGCGCCGCTGGGAAGCCGGGCCGCAAGGGGCGTGGGGCGGCGGGAAAGGCC